CCCCCCCAAAAAAAAAAATTTATGTCAAATCTAATTGCCGGAGTTTATTAAGTATTTGACATAGATCAAAGTACTAATTGTGGCAAGCTTAAAAGACCAAAATTGCTCAAAGTATATCTAAGGGACTATTTTAGACCTACCCTAGCGCCTAAACAAAAGGAACCCTTTTGTAATTTTCTCTTTTAATTACCTTCGCTCTAATGAAACTTTTGACCAATTTGTCCCCGACTTAATTATAGGACTTTTTTTTTTGCTTGCTTCAAAATTGCAACATTGTCTTTCCTAATGGAGGCATTTGTGCTCTTGTCATGTTGTTGATAACGTATGTCAATATACTTGTACTACAATATTAAGAATTGCTTGACCGATAATACGTGGACCCTCCCTATTTGACGACCATTAATTGATATAATTTCCTAACTTGCAATCTCTAATTCACAGTAGTAACATTGCTTTCCAAAATCCAAACTAGGTATCACTTATCCAACCTTTAAGCTTTCAAATTCTTGTGTGTATGATTGTACCACTTTGATCTTGGACTTTCTAAAGCTATCCAACGCACCCTCATCAGCTGAATCCAAGATCCAACTGCATATATAAAGAGCTTGCACAAAATTGACTTCCAGATTGAACTTTGATCGTGACATGAGGATTTATATTGCTAAAGTTAAGATATATAATTTTTAATACTGCTAGTAAATCATATTGTAAACAGAGTACCAAATAAATAAAAGTTGACAAAGTCAACAAATTATTATGGTTCGAGTTAAATAGAAATTAAAGGTCATAAAAGCTCAACTAAACTTATAAGAACAAGCCTGATTGGTACTTAATAATTTGACTACCAAGGACATGATCTTTCTATTAAAGTTCCACTTGAATTAGGATTCACTTTCTGTTTGGGTTTCTAAAGTTCCAATTGATGAATTAGGATCCACTTTCTGTTTGAATTTTTTAGACAACGAACCCATCCCTAAATTATTTTATTCTTTAAAAACCAATTATTATAAAATCAACTCCGCAACCAAATTCAAGGTGGCCAAATGGTCAACGATATAATGATCCCATAACTTTCTGTATCCTACTTTCCTCTTCAAAACCATGTGGCTAGTAAGAATATCCACTATTCAATTTCTATCCACACTATCATCACTTCTCCTCATAAATACAAGAACTCCTTATCCCCGTTTATGTAATTCGTAGATTTTGTTCACCATATATATATGACTAAGTCTTCCCAAAACTTTGCATTAATGGCATTGGCTCCTATGGCTAGCTAGCTCTTAGCTAGCATGGCTATTGATATGGACTGTTCTTCTACTGAAACTTGCTATCTTCTTTATCTTCTGGGTCTGGGCCATTACTCACATGCATGGTTCTTTTTTATTTTGGCTAATGTGTAAAGTCAAACCAAATATTTGAGACAATTGTAGAAGACTTGGATCATTTCATGATTTGCTCATGACAGCTGATTAAGACTTTGCAATATGCATTTTGGCGCTTTAAATTGCAAAATTAATTTATATGCTTGCCTAGTAGTTGGGAGGTTGTGAATTTAATTTTTTCTGAATATTAAATATGAAGATAAAATAATGTAAAATTGAATTTATATATGCATGTGGTAACTAGCTATATCATCAATGTGTTATGTGAAGTTTAATTCTTACCACATCCTTTTCTTCCCCATGCCTCTCCACCACCCCCTTCCTCGCCAAATTAAATACTAGTAAAGAAGATATCCAAAATTGCTTAGAGTATATTTTTTCCTCTAAACTCAAACTTAATAAGCTAAGTTTGTTTGCTCTTCTATATTTAAACTGATTTTAACAACACCCAACTATTCAGGAAAACAATGCACCGATTCAACTGAACTGCAAGATTCAGAATAAGCTTTATCAAAAAGTACATGCTTATTAGTAGACCATTAATCATTTAAGGTGTTAATGAATAATAACACGGTCCCTATATCATTAATATACAATGATCGAGATGATGATGACAAATTTGTAGCTTAGTACCACTGACTAATTAAGTACACAGCTCATTAATTGTACATGCATGAACAAGGAACTTTGTTCATAGTGTATATATGAAGTATACTTAGCTAGCTCCATGCAAAGAGTGAAAATTTAGAGTGTGACATTAGCTAAAAAGAGAAAAAGTGAGAGGCCGGCTAATCACTGTGGAAAATCTACTAGTACTAATAATATCCGCGTGAATTTAATGCAATCTAACCAACTTCTCATCTGTAAAAATTACATAAATTTAGATGAATAGTTTTCGGTGGTCTATTCCCACTCGTTTGTCTCTCTATGTTTGACTTTCAACATCTATATATTCTCATTCATTTTCCAAACTTTTCATCCCACATCTCATTATTATCGCTTCTAGCTAGCTAAAGATAAGGGTTTCACAATTAGAATGGGTACCGGGGAGTTGAGGAGATGGATATTGGTGGTGCAATACGTGGTGGTTTTAGGGTTGATCAGCTTGGGAAATTATGGAGCAAATGCACAACAAGTGCCTTGTTATTTTATATTTGGTGATTCTTTAGTAGATAATGGGAATAACAACAATATTCAGTCATTGGCTAGGGCTAACTACTTACCTTATGGTATTGATTTCCCTGGTGGTCCTACGGGGAGATTTTCCAATGGAAAAACTACAGTTGATGTCATTGGTAAGATCCCATCTCTTTTTTTTCTTGTACGTGTGATATAGTGCAGATTCAACAGTACTTTGCTTTGCGTGTGTGTGACAAAATCTCTAGTTTGGATTGGCATGAAGTTAATAACAACACAATTTAAGCTCGGAAAACCTCTTACAAAATGAGTCTATAGGATCCAAATCTATGCAATTATGTCTGTTTTATAACAACATATGATTCAATTTTTTTATTACTATTTTTAATGTCGCTGACTCCTTTTATATAATAGGACAAATATTCAAGTGTTATCTTCATCTACGTCTGAAGCACCTTTGTCCCTCTCTAGTTTCAAAAAGATTCTGATAGCTATAGTTGTCATTTTATTCTTCAATTAACATAAATCAAAATCACGATATTTATTGTTTATTTGTGGCACTTTATCGCCTTAATAAATTTGGCTGCATGCCTGGAAACGTCGACAATAAGTATTCCTGTCCTGAAAGTACTACTAAGTCCTAACTCCAACTAAAAACATTCTTTCTTTAAAATCTTTCAGCTACCTAAAAAGAGAGTATATAATGTAAGAGCAACCAAATTGTATAACAGTGGTGATTCATATGATAGTAATTGGGAAAACAAAAAGGAAAAGAAAGAAACTACGTATATATTTTGCTGTAAATTTTTCTCTTTAGAGCTTTTGCTAGGAAAAAGTTGTGATTAACTTACTGTGATATGTCTTAAATTTACAGCGGAACAACTGGGCTTCAATGGTTATATTCCACCCTATGCAACTGCTAGGGGTAGAGACATTCTCAGAGGTGTCAATTATGCTTCTGCAGCTGCTGGAATTAGAGATGAAACTGGCAGACAACTGGTACTTTTTATTCTTAAAATTTGTGATGCTTTTCAATTTTTCTTTTCGTCCATTTTTTTTATTCAGTTTGAAAATTGTTGTTTTTATGAAATTTTTATAGGGAGGAAGGATAAGCTTTTCTGGACAAGTGAATAATTACATAAACACAGTGCAACAAGTAGTGCAAATACTAGGAGATGAAAATGCAGCAGCAGATTATTTGAGCAAGTGCATATACTCTGTTGGATTGGGCAGCAATGACTATCTCAACAATTATTTCATGCCTCTTTATTACCCCACTAGCAGACAGTTCACTCCTGAACAATATGCTAGCGTTCTTATTCAACAATACACCCAGCAACTAAAGGTAAGTATATTTATTTACTCCCCCTTTCTGAACAAATAATATAAAAAAACATAAAGTAGAAAGAAAAAAGGGACTCTTGACATTAATAGTATTTGATAATTGTATGTTTTGTGGTCATAGATTTTATACAATAATGGAGCAAGGAAGTTTGCCTTGATTGGAGTGGGCCAAATAGGGTGCAGCCCAAATGCATTGGCCCAGAACAGCCCAGATGGGAGAACCTGTGTACAAAGAATCAATGTAGCAAACCAATTATTCAACAATAAACTAAAGGCACTTGTTGATAACTTGAATAGAAATACACCAGATGCAAAATTCATCTACATTGATGCTTATGGGATTTTCCAAGACTTAATTGATAACCCCTTTGCCTTTGGTAAGCTTTCTCATCTAAGTTTAATTTAAGAACTAAACTCACATTACATGACTAATTAGAAAATGATTCACTTTCATGGAATTATAAATATTTCTTTATAAATTAATCTAATCTGAGTCTATTAATTTCAGGACTTAGTGTGACAAATGCTGGATGTTGTGGGGTAGGAAGGAATAATGGCCAGATTACATGTCTTCCTTTCCAAAGACCATGCAGAAATAGAAATCAATATTTATTTTGGGATGCATTTCATCCAACTGAAGCTGCAAATATAGTAGTTGGGAGGAGATCATATAGAGCTCAAAAGCCATCTGATGCATACCCTTTTGATATTAGTCGCCTAGCCCAACTTTAAAGATAGATCGAGATGACAAATCCAGTGTCCTCTTCATTTCAAATTAAATTTTCTTGTGGAATTCTCACCATTTATTACATGTAATCGGAAGTGTTTAATCGTTTACTGAAATGTTGTATTTCCATCTTCCACTTTCAATGAGAATTTTATTACTATAAGTTAATCATGTGTTGAAATTACATAATTAAGTTTGAAAAGTACTTGTTATGCATTGATCGAGCTAGTAGTCTTGTGGCATAAAGGGTATTTAGTAAAGGTATTTTCATATATGAGCCGTCAGCCATATTACAGGGTGTCTGTCTAGTGTAATTCCCCTATAACTTAAGTCTTTCTTTCAAACCCTTTGCCGAGGTTAGGCAAACAACTATGGTGATGGTTTGTTGCCTCAAAAGCGTATTTTTTATGGTGTTTAGTATGTATTGATCATTTGAGGCCGCAATTAAGGATTTAGTACCTCTTCATTCATAATTTAGGCTTTGATGTATGAGATGTTCAGTATTAATGGGCTAATTTTTAGTTGAAATTGACCTATGCCTGCTTGTGAATTGAGGCTATCACTTATGGGGCGCCGAAGGATCTTTGTTGCTTCTTCATGCTTTGTGCTTAATTTGGTTGTAGTATTATAAATAAAGCTGTTAACCAGACGGAAAAAAAAAACAGTACGTCCGGTTACTGGGGCGGGGTGGATAGTGGGCGGGCTGGATAGTGGGCGGGCTTATCGGGCTGCTAGCGGGTTGAGAATTTTCGGGTTAAATTGGGCCCGTCCGGATTCGGGCTTATCGGGTCCGGACTGGGTTGAGTTATTTTTTTTTAAGTGTATTATATTTTCCTTATTCAATGTAATTGATACTTAAGTGTTTGCAAACTTTAGTTAAAGAAATAAGTATTTTAAGACATAAAACTAAACTTTTAAAGTTTAAAGTTTTAAATTTGAAATTTAAAATTGAAAGTAAGTAGCTACAAAAAATTATTTAATAAGACCAATATATAAGGATCAAATTCCGAAAGCTTTCGTTTCATATTTTCATTGAATAATAAATAATACTTTAAATTAATTAACAAGTTCTATTTTGATTTTTTTATTTTTGAACTTGCAAATTAAAAGTTTACAACAATTATAAAAAATAAGAAAGAGTACATCACATGCTTTGCATCATTTTTGTAAGTTCATCCATATCAACATGAGGTTCTTGGTTTCCGGTATTGCTTGAATCGGAACCATAAACTATTATATCTCCAATTTCCTGGTCCTCCATTTCATCTACCTCTTCACGCCCTTGATTTTGATGTTCTGATCTTATCCAATCTCTGAAGCACACTAGGACATCCAAAGCGTTGCTACCCAATGAATGACAGGTATCTCCTAGTTGCTGCCTTGCTTGGCTAAATGCGCTCTCTGATGCAACTCTTGAAATCGGCACATTTAGCGCGTCTCGAGCCATGGGCGGAAGAACATGAAATTGATTTGAGTTTCTCCTCCACCAACCCACCGATAGCAATTCTTTTGTGCGGGGCTCTGGTGACTTTGCAAGTAGAATTGGAGTTCATCAATATTCCTGCTACTGGTTTGTTGATGCTATCCTAGTGTAGACCAAATTAAATAATCTTCAACGCCATCATTATCCTCCAAAGCACCCGATGCAGATGTAGAAACCGAACTTGAAGGAATATTTGCATCTATAGCAGAAGAAGCATCAACAATGTCAGCATAATAATTATATAAAGTTTGTAAATATTTGTGTAGATCAGAAATACAAGTTTCAACATAAGGGGTTTCAGTTTGTCCAATATCCATATATACATATAAAGCAGTGATTAATTGGCGACAAGTGGCCATTTTGATAGAAGGGTTTAAAATAGCACCAATTAGGCAAATGGCATGTAACAGTCAAATAATTATTTCCATTAACAACATGATCAATATTAGAAGTAAGAGAAACATTACAAGAAAGACTAGCGAACAAATAACGGATATATGTCTGATATTGTCCAAAAAGTCTAAAGATATCAGCTCTACAAGTACTTCTAGGAATACCTTTAAATAAAGGGTTATAAATTCTTTGAATATAAGTAACAAGATACGGTGAGGCAGCAAAACTAAAAGGTAAACAACCTAAAATAATCATTTTAGCTAATTCTTCCCGATCTTTTACTATATCGTATTTGCCCATTAAACTGCCAGTACCCGGGTTAAGTTTTTTTTGGCCAGATTCTTCATCAACATCCCATGCAATAGGGTGGTTATCTACCATGTGCCTACGAAGTTGACCCGTTCCCCCTTGCTTACCTCTGGTCTCATGTTTATAAACTTCCTTACAAATAGTACATCTTACATAATTTTTATCTTCTTCTAGTCTTTCAAAAAATTGCCAATACTTACTTCTTAATCTTCGATTCTTCTTAAAAGGGAGGGGAGGCCTACATGTATTACCACGACCGTCACCCCTAGTATTTTGACTAGCAGTACCAGGTGTAGGTGGTGGTGTTTCAAGATTATCAGGTGATTGAATATTATCTAAATTATCATCTATACCATAATCTTCTTGAAGTTGCTCATAATCTACATTTAAATTTTCAGGTGAACTTTCAAAAATATGTGTAAAACTACTAGAAGAACCAGTACCACCTCTTGATCTTTTAAAAAATACTCTTACTAGTGTGGGCACCTAATTTTTTACCATACTTAAATTTTTAACCACTTTTTAGTATGTAAATTTTCTTTAAGTTTAATCTACATATTTTAGCTTTTGTTTCACCTTTTTTTTTTTATATGTTTTACTTAAGAAAATTAAAAATAATAAAAAAAGAGTCACATTGTCAGTATAAGTTTTACCTTCATTTATAAAGAAAGAAAAGTTCTCAAAAAAATATAGTTTTATTTAGTTTAGTGCAATTTTTAAGATTAGATACTTTCAACAAATGAATATTGAGTATGTAGTAATTGTACTTTACTATTTTTGATTTAGTAGGAGTAGACTTTATTTTAATTATTTATTATCAAGAAAAGAAAATATTACAAAAAAAAAAAGAACCAATCAGAGATGGCTAAGTTACAAAAGATTTCCTCACAATGGCATTACCAATTTAATTTTCGTGCCTCACGTGCTTTCAAAATACTTCATTCACGGATTTCTTCTTTTATTGCATTTGAAAGAGAGAAATATTCCTTCCAAGAAATTTCCACTCACCTGCATATGGGTTCTGTAATTCATCTCACCCTTATATATTTTTCACTCACTCACACAATTAAGCTGCCCATATTTGAGCAGAGAAACAGACGAGAAAAAAAAAATACAATAGCACAGCCTCCCTCTCCACGAGAAATCAACCATCAAAGCTTCACCATCTTTCCTCAACTCAAAAAGCTCCGCTAAACAGCCCCATCTCCACCGCCAAACCAGCAGCCTCTGTAAGCATTTAAATTTTATTAGATTTAAACTAATACAATTACTTGGACTATATTTTAAATTCAAGATATGTTAGTCCAAATAAATATTATGGGATAATATAATTGAATTAATTATATAAGTCCAATATATATAAATTAAATAAATAAGTCTTAATCCATTGGGTTAGCCCATTTAATTGAGTTAAAGTGATGAACCCACTTCATTAAGCCCAAGATGTCATCTTCCTAGAGGCCCAATTCGGTGCCACGTGTCATATTACATGGCACGCCAAGTCAATCGGAAGAGCCAATAAGATCATGCCACGTGTCAAAATGACAAGGCATGATAAGTCACATTAAAATGCTAATAAAATCATGCCACGTATGCAAGTGACATGTTCTGGCCAATCAAATGCGGCATTGTCACGCTTCAATTTGATTGGTCAGAAAGAGTTTGTTCTTATCATAACTCTTACCTCCCACAACTATAAATAGGGGTCTTCATAACTCATAAAAGACACCAGAAGTTATAACAAGAAGTAAGAAAGAGCTCATGGATCAAACACTGCAAATTCCTCCACAAGTTTTAAGTTCAAGCAATCAAGTTCAAGCTCAAGAACGAAGAACAAATCAAGTTCAGCTCAAGAACGAAGAATAAATCAAGTTCAAGTTCAAGCAATCAAGCTCAGGCTCAAGAAGAAGATCATCGTTCATGGCAACAACTACATATTCAAGATCAAGCTCGAAGGCCCTTAAATTTATTTACTATTGAAAAGAAGAATCAGAGGATTCATAGAGATTGTACACTCAAATTACTTGAAATCATACTATGATTGTTGCAATATTTTTCAGTCTCGATTATTTTCCTGATGCAAATTTATTGTCTACAAATTCTGGCATACCCAGTGGGACAATCTATACCTCTCATCTCAACTTTTCAATCACCAAATTTCAAGAACATTGAAATGGTTTCAAAGAAAATCAATTCCAGTTCAACTTCCACCAAGGCCGCTAATTTCAGGTTTTATGCTGATGTGGAAAGCATCCTCGATGTTACCTTTGGAAGCTTTGGACCAGTTACGAGGAGTAAAGCAAGCTCGTTAGGACAACAAGCACCCCAAGTGTCGTCCCTATCAACCCCTATTTTTGGATCTTCGTCCTCTAAAGGAGCAAGATCTTCTACAAGCGCACCCGAAGGAGGAAGCGATGTTGCTGAAAAGATCAAGAAAACTCTTGCTCTGCTTGACCTCTCCGGATCCAAGCACTATGCTGTGAAGGAAAATGATGATGCTTCAAGTGATGGATCCTCCCCACTTACATCACATAGCGTGAGCCAATCGAGGATCAATCTGTATGACAATCCATGCTACTCTCCCTCGTCCACGACAATCATGTAAGCCGTGGTAACAAACACTTCATATATGGAGGAGCAGTTGGCAAACTTGACGGAAACAATCGCTGGCTTGACCAAGTGCATACAAAATCAAGATGCTAGAATTAACAAGCTAACAAACAGGGTGGGAATCTTGATGGAATAAGAATCCACCCATGCACCAGGCAAGCTCTGAGAAGTTCCAGAGATTGATTCTCCCCCAAGACAAGTAACATCCGCTAAGGCTATCCCTGTCTCATCTGAAGGGATGATTCCAATCGATCAATTAAAAGAGTAGATTAAAGGAACCATTAAGAACAAGTATGAAGTTGCTGCTAAGTCCTCCCTTACATATGCAAAGCCATACACTGCAAGGGTCGATATGTTGAAGATATCTG